GCCTCTTACTAAGGGAATTCTTTCAAGTTCTTAGTAGTTTATAGATTTGATGAAATACTCTGAATGCTAACTTAATATGAACGGGCTATTAACATTAAAATGAACCATTATGGTTAAAAAGTATATTAATATTAATTTTTAATCTTTTATCGAACTAAAATACTGGAATTATATTATTCAAATATAAGTTACATGTCACTCTGCGGGTTAAAATTTGAAATACGTGTACAATAAAAAGTACGTTTATACAAAGAACGTTTTTGTGCCTGATTTCATAATTAAAATAGCGTTCATACTTACTAACCCTTAGAAGCAGATCTTTTAAACATATTTTTTATACTTTAGTATTATTTTGTATTAATTTAAGTCAAAATAAATGAAAAATATTATATTTAGCATTTAATTATTTATGGTTATTAAATACAGCATGAAAAACCGGTGTCTTTTCCTACGTCAATCCTTTCTAACAATGACTTTTAAAATGTGCACTTATTTGCTGTCATTTAGATCTCAGTTATTCATCATTGAAATTTCTTTAAGCTACAAAATAAATTACTGATACATTTTTGAACATTAAGTAGAAAGTTTTTTTTCACACTATTTTTTCGGATTTTATATTTAAGTTGAAACATAATTCCGATAACCTAACAGATTTTTTAGAAACTATTATACTGTTTTTTTACAGTTAAAAAATTGTTATTAGAGAGTCAGAAAAAAATATATAAAATGGACACCCGTGTCCCGTCTGCGTCAAAGGGCTAAATAGTCATTTTAAAGTTTTCTCCTCGAATCATTCATAAAAATGGAACTACTCATCAGATATTAATAAGATCGGTAATAAGATCAAAAGTTATTCAGGGTATTACATTTTTTATTTTTCATCTCAGTTGTGAAGGCCAGTGGATTCTCCTATTTTTTCAGGCTATGAATCTTCTTTTGACGGTACAATAAAAAAAAATGTAACGTTTGATAATTAGTTCCAAAATTATTAACTGTTGAGCTTGTTGGAAAAAATACCACACGTGCCGCTTTGCAGGTTGCAGGTGGATAACTACGCAGCTCATTTTTTATGCTTTTATGTTTGTTTACAAAAGTAACTGAAAGTTTTTCTTCTTTTTTTTCTCCGAAGTTCTAATTTTCTTGAATGTTATTGCAATTAGGCGCTTTTATTTGCGAATTTTATCTCACTTTTTTTGTTCTACGGTACATTTTGCTTTTCTATTAAAATCTATAAGAGTGAAAAGAAGGTGAGTAGAAAAATGTATAAGAAGTTCAATGGACTAAATCTTTATATATATATTTCGTCTGTTCGTGTGTATGTCACTGAACTCCTCCTAAACGGCTGGATTGATTTAAATGAAATTTTCTGTGTACCTTCAGAAGGATTCGAGAATGGTTTAGATTCACAATAGAACATTCTGCCACAAACCGTTCCAGCGGTATCAGCGAAAATCGAAATGGAATTTTCTGATTGGTTAAAAGTTAGCCATTGTTTTAAATTTTGCTGTACACGAATCAGTTTTCAAATATCTTGAAGATAACAACAGTGATATTTTCTATCTTACAGCTCTATTCTTTTAGAAAAGTAAATTACATATACTTTAATATTTAATCATAATTCGGTTCTTTATTTCAGGTGAGCACAAGCACGTAAAATCAACGGAATAAGTTTCGTAATTATTGGTCGTATCACGGATTTAGTATTGTGAGAACTGTTTAATAGAAATCAAGGCAAAAGCAAATTTTATTCATCTTGCACGCTTTTAATAATTATTTATATTTAGTATGCAATTTTAGCTCAATTTAGTATGCAATTTTTCATTGCTAGCAGTTGTCATTTGAAAACTATTAGATTGTTTATTATTACAAAGTTTGCGAATTCACATTCATTTTAATTATTTCATTTAAAAAATAGGAGTAGACTATATTTGAGGGTGCCCCTTGATTCTCACCAAGTTGTGATAGCGGTTGATCTCCAAGCTGGCCGATGTTGAATCCCAATCGTGATTCTGATTCGTTTAAATTTCAGCGTTATTTTTAAATGTTCAACGGTATATGTAATTTCAGAAGTCCGTTAGTTCTATGTTGGATACCGGCTGGTTAGGTTACTTTTGCTTCTGATCAATAGGATCGAAGGTATGTGGGCAGTCATAAAAAAAGGACTTTAGAAAAAAATGTCACCGCCATTCCGATACCACAGACGCCATTTTCAATTCGTATTTCGCCGAATTTATGTGGCGATGGAGGAACACAGATTCTATTCATGATAAATTTAGACAGTATCTAACTGCTATTAGAGAATTCTGTGC